GTGCCGGGTGACACCTGTGTGAAGGCAAACGTGTGATGGCAGAGCACGGCAAAATGGAAAATCAAGCAAACCAAAACAACTTCTGGTTGAGGAACACCCCTGTGTCATGGATCTATGTAAGGGCAACGCACAGATGGTCGGAAAAGCACTCGATCGTAATGTTCCTTCAGCAGGCGCAGCTTCTCGACTGTGGTACGAGGCAAACCTCCAGTGCAAGAAGAGGACACGTCAGTCTTCCAAGCTGTAACATTGTTGGATTTTCCATCTCTTTATAAGAAGTGTTTACTAAGTTGCGGCACAATGACGAGATTTAAACCCTGATCACTTTGAGGGGCATCAACGTATTGGCTGCGCTTGCGTGGGGTCCGACAACCACCCGTACGTGCCGGCAGTGTGGCGGCCGACGCGGGTGTCACCGTTGATGACACAGGCAGTGACGGAATTTGTGCGGGCGGGTGTGCTGGCGCCAGGGCGGCCGAGGGCCTGCTACCGGCTTTTGCGGTTCCCTAGTGTTTCGCGCCATTTATGACCTTTCGCACCGCACATGCCGCGCCGGCCAGGTAAGGTACCGTCGGTCGAAGGAGCCTGAATATGACCATCCGTGGTGGCGGCGGATGGCGGGTTCGCACGATGCGCACTTCGCGCGATCGTCAGGACACGTACCATCACGGTTCGGCGACGCCAGGTGGTTTGAGAGGACGTCGCTGCCCGTTGATTCAAGCGACACTGCTCCTCGGGCCCCTCCGTTGGGCGCGTCTTGGGCGTCGCTCGTCGGGTGGCAGGAGTCAACGGTATCCGAAATATAGCACCAAATGCGAACATCAGGATCGCAAGGAGAACGCTGGTGGTCATTAACATGAGATATTTTGTCCGAAGCTATGCCACAAGATAACATTTTTGATGTTCATGTTGCGTTGAAGTGGAAACTCGCCTAAATAGTTGTGTTCCGCTAATTGATATCTTGCGTCATAGAGAAATACGTAATAGTTCATAAGAAAACAGGGCTTTAATGTAGTGCTCTCTCCACTGCAGCGCGATGTGGATTTCATACACGAGCTTTACGTCGACTGGGTTTATGTACGTCGACTTTACGTCGACTGACCATGACGACGAAGAGCGCGAAGACAACCGAGAAGTTTGAGTTACCCCAACGAGGCCTGATTGTCATCGGCCGAAAGATAGCAGCGTGATTGAGCGTTGGCGTTATTACCAGAACAAACGCAGTGGGGACGCCTTGAAAAAGTAACCCGTCGTTATGCTGGTTGATCGCTCGGGTGCAAGATTGGAATATCAGCGAATGTCGTGTCCCTTCCCTCCGTGATGTTGTGCGGAGACCGCACGACGGTGGCCGGTGCCGACGGTGGTCCAGTGGCTTCTCTTGGACACAACCGGCGGGCTCAAGTGACCGGCTACCGCGGCTGCTAGCGCCGAAAGGGGGGATGCCGGGGGGACAGGCCGGCACGCAAACGCGTCAATGTAATCTGCTCAAAGTGTTGCCGTCGCAGGCCCGGTCTGACTCCTATGTCGCGTCAAATCTGTCTCGCCTGTCCGCTCCGCGCGCCGAGCGACCTGTCGGCTGATGCCTGGGTGCCTCAGGTTGGGCGTTTCCACCGCGCTCCGTGGGGTGGGTGGACGGGCCTGGGCCTGTCTCGTGACCCGACTCCTGCCTTCCCACCGCGTCTGTCTTGCCTGTCTACTCCGCGCGTCGGGCGACCTGGCGGTTGGCGGGGCGGCCCTTCGGCCCGGCTGGCCCGCCGCATTCCTGAGGATGGCTCGGTGGTAGGTGGAGTGCGTAAGACTGTTGGAGGCCGGACGGTAGAGTGTCCTCCGGCGCGGCGCGTCGTGCTGGCGTTGCATGAAGTTGCAAGTTGCACCTATCTCCGCTCTACGAGGACTACTGTCGGAAATCGCTGCAATACACACGAAACAGACTGCGCGGCTTGCGCGTGACTCAGGGGTCATCGAAAGGAGGGGCCGGGAGACACCATTAAGTTCGGGCTCGAAATCACTCAGTCAGCAGTTATTTTCGGCGAATAATGTGAACGTGTACAGCATACACATCAATTCGTTACCCGCAAAAGTTTACGCCACAGTAGTGCGCAAAGGAAGCATGCCAAAACGCTGACACTTGGTCGCAGAGCTAGCAACAATTACGATGTGTGCAAGTTGGTTGATTCCTGGCCAAGTGATAGGAACTGCTCATATGTAGCTTTCCACGCGTCACAGCCTCAGTGCCGGGCCAAACAGCGGTTTCAGCAGCGACGCCACGTATCTCCAGTGTGCAAATCCATCCAATATATACGCAACGCAATTAAAACTACGCATCTGTTGGAAAGCACCAATCATTGGCCAGCACCAATCACTGGTCATGAAAGATAATATCAACAGTACGCAGGTCATCACATCTGAGCAATTGTTGTCAAGTTTCCAAGGTGAGCAACGTATCAGGACATCTGGCATCATGCCAAACGACTTTGTCTTGAAAATAGACGATCAGGACTTTTCGGGGCTAATAGAGCCCCTTGCCGTCGGTGCCTCGTCGGATAACTATCCAGCCACCATCTTCCCAATCCCCATAGAGGCCCCAGCTGCCTCTAACACCCCGTACGCCAGTCTCAAAGACAGCATCACCCGACAGGTCGCCGACACGAAGGCGGTCGATGTGTTCTGCAGGTACGCCCTCGAGAAACTCGACGTCAAGGTCGAGCTGGCCCATGATGATTACAACGTCCGCGCAGGGACTGAAGCTTTGGGGAACCAGAATTTCGCCAAGTGGGGGGGCCAACTCCGCAACGGAGGAAGTCTTCGCTGTCCAGATCAAGGATCTGCTAGGAGTGGTCACCCTGGCCTCTAGATGCCGATCACGTCCGGGCCCGAACAGAGGATCAGGGCCCTCTGGTCCCGGGGCATAACGCTCGTAGATCCAACACTGGTCAACGAACTCAGGATCCTCGAATACAGGCCCGAGACTGTGAGGTCTCTCGTCACGAACTTGACCACGGCCACCCTGGCCCTCTTTTATTTTTCGACCCGGGGCACCACCCCGATGAGCTACCCGGACTGGTTTCAGTTCGGAGTGCTGGCGATCCAGGGGATCTCCAACAGCCTCCTGAGCCATTGGCTCCGAGTCGGGCAGCTCTACAACATCGGGCCCTCTATCGTGGCTGCCACCGTCCCATTCCGAGAGATCATCGATCTGTGTCACAAAATTCTGGAGAAGGCCAAGGACCTGAGCGACACCGGCCCCCAGTTCACTCTGTTTCTCCAAGCCCTTGGGAAGAACTTCACACGCTTCTCGATCAGGGCCAGCCCCTTCACTGCGGCCCTCATGACCCTCATCCTGCTCTTCGCTACAGACAGCCGGACGTTGCTGTACCTGTGCGCCGGAGCAGGAACAGACGTGGTCGTCGAGATGGCCAGGCGTTCCTACCTCTGGACGACGGAGATTCGAGCAATACAGGGCAGTTCTCGTCAGTGACAGTCGGGCAGGACACCTTCGCTCCCACAATGAGGCCCGCTCGTCAGCTCGGAGGCCCCGACGCGATCGAGCACAAAATGGAGTCCGCCTCAAAGTCAGAGCTAGTCAAGTACTTGCTCTGGCTTATAAGCAGCTACCATGTGCTCTTGACGCACGGAGTTATGCTGCCAGACAGCCGAACGGTGAGTGAGGAGACTTATCTCGTCTCTATCAGGGAGCTTCTCACGCCGGACCCCAACGCCAGAGACTTCCCCGAGTCGTCACTTGGGATACTGACGCGCCGGTACCTCCCTGGCCAAGCACCGGACATGGGCGCTCCAAGACGAGACCTCGGACCGCCAACGCTGCGAGCTCAACCGCCCCCAGCCATCGAGGCACAACCTCCTCCCCCGCCTCCGGTGGACGACCCAAGGCCACCAGGCGATGTGCGACAAGAGGATTTGCTGGATCTCAACGGCTAGAGGACAGAAACAAGACATTCCAGCAGGGAACAGAAAAAAATCACTGTTCATGAGTGTCAGAGCAGCCTGAGTTCGCAAGAAGTGTCTGCGGTAGATAAACGACGCCAGTTGTTATGAAGCTGCGACATGGCTTCAAGGTGCATTCCACCATCCTTCCGACCGATAGGCAACTCATAAAAAACAGGAAATATTCCACAGTCCTAAGACTCGAGTTAAGCACCCACGTATGGATGCGAAGGTAAAATATTGTGAAAAATATGTAGAAACTAACGAATTACCGCTCTATACAGAGTGCAGATGCTCCGTAATGAAGGAAAAATGGAAGGCACGTAAACCATGGACATAACACCGACAAAGCATTCCGCTGAAGGAAATTGCCAACCAATTCCCTCCAGTTGAAACAAATGCTTGCGTCAGAAAACAAACCATTTATCGATGCGATGGAGGGAAAATTGAGGAGCTACCCTCCCCAGTCCCGCTGCCCTATCCCCAGTAGCGAACAGGTCATAGTGGCGTACCTGCGTATGGGACGCTCCCCCTCACGCGGAGTACCCTGTTCCGAATCGGAAGGGCCGCCCACACGCACTGTGGGGAGGAGACAGCACCTCCTCACGTAGTGTCTCGCCTACGTAGCGGCAAGAATGGCCATCTGGGGAACCCCAGCCCCTTCGATGATGGATGCGATGGATAGTGAAGTTCCTCTCTATCTCCATCTCCATCCTCTCCATAATGAAGTTCCTGCGGAGGATGGGCCACACCGTCCCTCGGGTGTGTGCGTCCCTCGCATATGGGGAAGCAGTTGGCGCCCCTCGCATATGGGGAAACAGCGCCCCTCGCATATGGGGGAACAGTGGGCATCCCACTGTTCAGACGGTCCCGGCCAATGAAGCGGTGGGCGTCTCACGCCTGAGGATAGGTGGACGCCCCCGTCTGTGAGGATAGGTGGGCGCCCCATGCCTGTTAAGAGCAGCGGATCAGCCACGTGGAGCGATTCCCCAATCAGCCGGAGCGGAGTCCGCGGCCACGGGCCGGCCGCGGCGGCCCAGTCTCTCGGCACTTACCGGCAGAGTCGGCGGACTTAGCGGGCGGTTTGGTGGACCCCTGGGTCGGCTTAGAGCCCTCTCCTTCCGACTTACTCTTCGCTGCTGCTGCTGCTGGTGTTGGCGGCTGAAAAGGAGACAGGGAACATTAACAATGACTATTAAACAGCCATGCAGTTTAACAAATACCACAGTAAATGACTTCAGCCTTGATCGTTTCAATCACATACTTTCAACAGAATATTCCGAAATTCCATAGCTTAGTTTAAGCCAAGTAAAAGCATACAGCATGTAGCAATAAAGGTTTTCGGCTTGGGCATCCTGCCCGCGAGCAGGATCAGAGCCACGACCGTCTGGCGTACGGCCAACCGCGGCTGGCACCGGAGACAGTTCGAGTATTACCTGGTGCGGGTTGTCTAAGGTACAGCCCACAGCAGAAGTAATGTGGGGTTTCATAAATCTCAACGGGTGGCTTTGACTGACGATTTTTAAATGCGGAGTGATCGAAAAGAAGACGTCAATAGATAAAATTGCAGCTGCAAAGGTGACGATTCATGTAAGCTACATTCAAATTTCCATTGTAGTCTGGCTCATCGTTCCTAAGCTTCAAAAGCAGAATATGCCCATGAATGAAACCCCACATTACTTCTGCTGTGGACTGTACATAGAATGTAATGTAATGTAATGTACATAGAATGTAAAGGCATGCATAACACAAAACAAACATCTGCATTATGTCTATGGTAATTTTCACATCAATAACATTACACGGTCACGTGGGATGCGTTGTGCTACTTGCCTTGGTAACCTCTGGGGGAGCCGGAGTCTCAGACGTGGGAAACTCTGACATCTCCTCGTCAGACAGCTGAACGTCCAGCACGTCCCTTCAGAGACAAGTGTACAGGTCAGGAGAAAAGTCAGGCAAGGGGGAGGCACCAACACGAGGCAATAGTGGTCGGGTCTAACCAATACAGGATCATGATGAAGCGCAAATATTATAAAATGGTGTCTGAACCATATTTATGACATTTTTTCAGATTTTAATTCAACTTCAAGGCTAAAACCAATACATTGTTATAGCTAAAAACTAGACATGCATAACTGAAAGGTTATATGTAGTAACAAATGTACTGACGTAAAATAAGCGACATCATATTCTTATTCTAAAGAATGACTTAAATCAAGGCATGTTTGGACTCAGACCAATTTTAAATAACGACTCGACAAGGCAATAGCTTACTCACCCCCCGGTCTCGTGTTCTTCCGCAGCATTTTCGTCTTCATCCTCTTCCTGCAACAAATAACAATCGTGTAGGCGTAAAAAAGGACGGACACTCAGGACAGGTAAAAGGCAGATACAATTTGTGAGTGTATTTATAGCTCATCGGCCGAATTTGTATCTTCAAAAACCTCCGTCAACACTCCGCATTTAGGCGTATCCGAAAAAAAATCCACTTCGGCAATTTACCGTCTATCAGTACATTTATCCCCTGCTTGCCTTTCAGTTCTCTATCCTCATCCCTTAACCCCACCAGATCCTCTGCTCTAAGCATTCAGACAGAAAAATGATGAGATGGAAAATGGGAGGCGAGGAAATGCGAGAGGTAGAACTACTAGACAAAGAAATGTGACAAAAATATGAACTAGGAAGCAAAGAGCTACTAAAGGAACAAAATAGAAACAAAAAGTGCCAAATGTAACTGCTAGTTGAGTATGTACGCCACAAAAAAATGTGAGACGAATATCGTGTCATCCTATTATTTGATTTCCATCCTAGCACTGACAAAATTGTAGCACTGACATGAGACATCCTTCAGAGCAATATACAAGACGTGTCTACAGTTAGAGCTACTTTGAGTGTGCACTCACCACCTCTTCGTCGTCTGCTCCGAGTAGGGTATCCTCGTCGGCCGGGTTCACCGACACGCTCTCCTGCTCCTCATCCTCCTCATAGTCCAGAGCTGAGTCGTCGATGACACTGTCGGAAATGGTCACATCCATTCACAAAACTTTGAAAACGAATATCCGTGGAAAGCAATGCATTGAATAGCATGTCTTACTTGGTATCACTGGCGGATCCAGAAAGGCAGTCTTGGGATGCTGCGGGGGCATACTCCCTAAGAGTTTCTCCAATTTCCAGAAACTCCTCGGATTTCGATTCCTTAGGCATTGTTGTGAAGTTTAAAACAAACTTTCAATAATAAATGTTTTGTTTTCTTTATTCAAAAAACGTAAATTTTGGTCGATTTCGGGCGCCAGGGGGGAGGGGGAAGAGAATTGTTTGCTCCCATATAGCTGGGAAAGACTTTGGGCCTTTGCCCCAAAGCCTGCCTACATCCGCCAGTGCTTGGCACAGCATAACTAGATAATTGTTGCTTCAAAAGTCAATTAGGCACAATGCTTGCTTTGAATCTTAGTAGCTTAAGCTCTAGCTTTCAAAACTAAGCTCCCTGTTTTTTATCTAGTATCAATAGTTAGGTGGGTGGCTATGGGCTATGGATGACAAACGATTATGTTGAGCATCGATGATTTCTAAGCATAGCTGATGCCTGCCGATGTAATAAACACAATCATCTGGTATAAAGGGCTGATAGAGCAGCGTCTAGTTTACGATACGATATTTTTGCTGAATCTTAGCACGTGTGGTAGAAGGGTTGCGAGTAGGCACTACGCCCAGTGGAGAGGGGGGGGGGGTGAATGTCGCCTCCCCCCCCATAAAATCTCAGCTCCCACTGAAGCTAGAAAGACTTTGAGGGTAAGTGAAGGCCCTGAGGAACTTTGTTGTATGTGAAGTTCATGACCCTAGGTCAATCCCTTCAAGGTGGAATGAGGTCGAATGTCGTTAAATCTGCCATATGAGCGATTTTTTTTTGCGTTTACACGCCGATAACTCAAAAAGTTACCGACCGATTTTCCATTTTCGTTCATTATACGAAGCGACATACATTTTTGAGTATGTATGGTGAATTTCTAGTTAATCCAACAATACATATGGCAGTTAGAAGCCTGCTAAGAGCAAGATGTCGCCGCCTGAGGCGGGATCGGCCGACGCGGAAAACGCGGCAATCACAATTTTGTGTTTACACGCTCATAATTCAAATGTTTATCATCCGATTTTCAAAATTCGTTAACCATAGGATTGCCTGTACATTTCTTAGCCTTCTCACATTATTTAATGCGAATCGAACATAATCAGCGGTAATGAGCACGATATAAAGACGGAACCGTCCCGCCCCGACAGTCTACAATTCAGGCGGTGCGTAACGGCCGGCGCAGGATGTTCCACTTTACACCGCTATTACTAGAAAAGTTGTGAACCGATTTTCTTATTTCTTGCACGAGAAGATCCGCAATTTAATTCTGAACACGTAGCCAAAATTTCACATTAGTTGTATGTTCGCGGCGCGAGTTATTGGCGAAAAACATGAGGGGTGGGCGAAATTCGACTTACCCTTCTACTGCACATGTTAATAGGAACAACTTATAACTCATTAACAATTAATATGTTTTATTTAAACGTATACATAGCATATATTATACATAAATATATAAAAATACATTTATTTTGTGAATATTCACTGGTCAACCCAGGCTGGTGGTCATTTGGAGTATTTCAACTCCCATAAAGCTGGGAATTAAACATATGTCGGTTCTAGCAAAGAAAAACAAAAATGCCACTTTAATTTGGAAAATTGTTTTTCACTGCACAGCAAGGCCAGAGGATATCATCATCATCATCATCATAGTTTATTAGGCACCAAAGTTGGCAAGAAAGTAAGAAAAAAAAAGGCACACACAAAACATCACACAAAGCATGACAGTGGGTGAGCAGGGGCCACACATTGATGTCGCAGGCGACACTCACTCCCGCTCCGGGCATGTCAATAGCCGGAGCAGGCGGCGAGATACTTGGTCCCGGCGACTCATCAGGAAGGCAAGCGAGTCAGCTAGGCCATCGGGAGCCCGTTGGGGGTAGATACGGTCGCTGCACGGCCGCCCTGCTGCCACCCCGAGGAGTGCAGAAAGGTTGCAGTCACACATCTCATGAAGCTGTATCAGTAATGAGCCCACTAGCTCAGTCGGGCACATAGCCAGCTTGGTGATTCCTGACAGCAGCGCCTGCTGCAGCCGGTGCTCTGAGCGCATCGCATCTTTCAAAGTGCGGAAACACGCTGCCCGCAGCAGTTCATGTGCTGGTTGGATGTCGGCAGCAGCGAGAAGCGCCGAATGGTGGGCGGAGCGAGGCAGGCCAAGAACCACCTTGATGGAAGTCGCTTGAGCGGAACAGAGGATCGTCATGTCCCTTGCATTGAGCGGGGCGGCCACGCAGCCATATGTGAGCGCCGGTTGAATGATAGTCTTCCACAAGAAGCACTTGTCGGCTGGGCAGAGGCCGGACGTCAGCATACCAGCAGGCGCGAGACCGTACAGGCTGGCACGAGCTCGAGACGCGCGGTGCTGGACGTGTGGCGCCGCAGATAAACTCCCATCCAGTACGACACCGAGGTGCTCGGACTGCTGGCGGGTGGAGAGCTGCTGGCCCGACAGGCTCCATCTTGGCACTTCGGATAGAAGCTCGGCGCCGAAGACCATGCAGTGGCTTTTGGTGCGGACGGGCTCCGGGTGGACGAACTCCAGCCTCCAGGTCTTCGCAAAGTCATCAACCACATCTAGTAGAGTGCTGAGGTTTCTGGCATTGGTGGACAGGAGTAGCAGATCATCGGCATAGCAGACAGCTGGCACGTGGTGACCATATAGGTCAGCACCGAGATCGCTTACGTCCAAGGCGGCTACGAGCGGGTGTAGGTAGGCGTTGGCTAGGATAGGCGAGAGAATAGCACCTTGCCTGGTGCCCCGGCGGATCCTGAATGAGTCGGATATGGCACCGTCAAAGGCAATGTGAGCCTGAAGTCGGCGGTACCAGGCAAGCATGAGCAGCCATGAGTTCGGACGAAGGTGTTGCGCCAGACGGTGGAATAGCCCGTCATGCCAGATCTTATCAAAACACTTCCTGGCGTCCAAGTTTGCCGCGTAAACTGGCAGATCTCGTTGTCGGCACCACTGAATGGTCTCGAGGGCCAATATGGATGCTTCGCTGGTGCCTCGCTGTTTCACGAATCCCAGCTGAAGGTCGTGCGGACAGAAACTGGCCTCAAGTTCATCCAGCAACAGCATCTCCAGCAGCTTCGACGTGCACGATGTCAGGCTAATAGGCCGGTAGTTGTCCAGATTGTTTGGATCAAGCTGGGATTTCTTCAGAAGAGGCACTACCACGCTCTCTGCAAATGTGGCCGGCACATTGCACGAAGACAAACAGGCCGATAGAAGCTGGGCCAGTGCCGATAGCAGGGGAGGAGAACAGCCATAGATGAGGTGTTCCGCCGTCACGCCGTCCACACCCGGTACCTTGCGCAGAGGGAGGCGGCGCAACAGGTCGGCAACTTGACTCACGGTGACCGTCCGAGTGGTGGCCAGAGTGGAATAGCGTCGCGCCCTTTCTTCGACTGCAGCAGCAATCTGAGCCTGCTCAGAGTCTAGCAGGGAGGGCTCGTCCGCGTGCACCGCCTCGAAATGTCTTCCGAACTCGCTGGCAGTGCGACCACCCCCAGGAGGGAGAGGGCCGCGCCGAGAGCGCTGAACCCGTCGCCAGAAGGCGTTGGTGTTCCCATTGCGCTTGAGTTGGTGCAACAGACGGGCCTCTTGCTGCACGGGGGCTAAGGCTGCTGTGCGGCGAGCTTTCCGGTACTCTCTTCTAGCTGACTGGTAGCAGGAGTAGACCGTCGAATGAAGAGGTCGACCACAGCTGGTCCAGACATGGAGCCAGAAGCGTACTCGGTCACGTGCAGCTGCTGTGGCAGGGGTCCACCATGGTTTTGGCCGGCGCCGCTGTTTAACACAGCCTGCCTCTCTAGCGGCGGCGAGCAGGCAGCGGGATATTGTTGAGTCCAGCGCATCGAGCGAGGTGCCACAACTAGGGAGTTGAGTCACGAGCATGCCGGTAAGAATATGCTTGTAGTCTTCTAATCTGTCGACGCGGTCCCAGCAAAGTAGATCGGAATCAGGCACAGGAGTGGCCCGAGAGATGGCGCGGTGCGTCGTCTCCGTTGGAGCTGCAGTTGCCACCAACAGCCGACAGACGAGCGGCTGGTGCGGGCTGAGGTTTTCTGGATGTGGAGGCAGAATCTGGCAGCCAGCTACGCGCGGTAGCAGGGAAAACGGTACAGCGATATGGTCGATGTGACTCTTGCAGTCGGCGCGTGCGTATGTGAAATTCACCTGCTGGGGGAATAGAAATTCTGCAGCCACAAGTTCGTACTGGTCGAGCAGCTGCTGCATGGCGACACTGTGCCGAGTGAACCCTCGAAGTCGTTGCCACAGAGGCGGACGTGAAGTTGCTGGGAGACGCGGTAGTGCACAGTTGAAGTCACCGGCTACAACCACCGGAGCAGAGGGACGCAGCGCCATGATTAGAGCGTCCAGCTTGGCAATAACACTGTCGTACTCCTCCGAGTTACCGGCTTGCCCGTCCCAGTACGGCATGTAGCAGCCAATGACGGTCAGCACCGGGCGTCCATCCATCAGCACCGTTACACCGCACAGGCGGGGGTCGTCACAGCTGCAGGATTTGAAGGTCAGTCCGGGTCGGCGGCGACATACGAGAGCAAGGCCTCCGCGTCTTCTGCCCTCACCCACGCCGGGAGGCACCTCCATTGCGAATGACTGGAACACCAGTAGTTCACTGTGTCCAGCAGAAGTGAAAATTCTTGGTGCGTAAACCTCCTCCGCTCGAGACAGCCAGCTTTCTGACAATACTAATATATCGCAGAGTGGCAGAACATATTCATCGATATATTTGAACGCTGACAGCAGACCCTCGCAGTTGTAGGCACCGATGGCGATGGTCGCGTTTTCGGGCAGTTCGCGATTAGCGACGCCGCGGCTGGGGTACCGTGCCGCCGAGCCGTGGCCAGCTGTTGTCGTCTCTGGAGTCCCAGGAGGCAGGTGCGCTGCCAACGTTTCGATGCCGCGTTCGGGCATGGCCACGCGCATAGGTCCACTCGCCGTGCTCGTGAGAGTAGCCTGTAGTGGGCGCTGCGTCCCACTGAGTGCGGTTAGCGGCGGGCTGCTCGGTGGGTTGGTGCGGACCTGGATGACTGGACTGGTGCGTCGCGGCTGTGTAGTGGCTGGCTTGGACAGGAGTGGCAGGGACTCGAAATCTCCTTCGTCGCCGTCCGTTGTTATCGGCTTTAGGACGCACGCTGAGTCCCGTCGGCCATCGCGCAGAGTTCATGACGGCATCCGATCGAGACTCGGCGGTCTCGAACATGAAGGCCGCTCCTGGAGCCGACGGGCCGTCTGCAGGCAGACGGCGGAAACTGTATACGTCTCCAGCCACCGACTGTACTAGGCCACGCACGGAGCTATCAGACGCGTCGGGGCGAAAACCCCAAACAATGAACTTTTTCTTTGCCGGCTGCTGGGTCACTCCTGGGGATAAGACCAAGTCAGAGGCCGCCCCAGCGCCCGTCACAGCGGCGAGTTCAGCTGGGCGCTGATTATCCGACCTTGGCGCGTTCAGCTGCCGGCTCGCGGTGGAGCCGTGGGTAACTGTTGGCGGAGGCGGAAGGTGTGCTGGTGGGTACTGCGCCCGTCGTGTATCTGTCGCTGGCAGAACCCCAAAATCCCGTCTGGCAAAGCGCTCGTCCCCGCCCAATTCATCGTCATTTTCAGAATCAGAGTCGCCAGCTCGCCAGTGGATTCTGTCTGCGATGGCTTTACCGAGGGCAACGAGGTCAATGGCAGCGGCGATATCCTGGGCGGCCGGCGGGCTCGCCTGGCTCACCTGGGCGTCCGGTGGGCTCACCTGGGCGGTCGGTGGGCTCACCTGGGCGGTCAGTGGGCTCGCCTGGGTCGCCTGGGCGGCCGGTGGGCTCGCCTGGGTCACCTGGGCGGCCGATGGGCTCGCCTGACTGCTCACCTGGGCGGCCGGCGGGCTCGCATGGGACATCTGGGCGGCCGGCGGGCTCGCCTGGCTCACCTGGGCGGCCGGTGGGCTCGCCTGACTGCTCACCTGGGCGGCCGGCGGGCTCGCATGGGACATCTGGGCGGCCGGCGGGCTCGCCTGGCTCACCTGGGCGGCCGGCGGATTCGCCCGCTTTACGTGTGTATTGGTAACCAGATGGTTATATGTCTCTGACCGGTTCGATGACTGGTGGTCCAGCATATCGCGCAGTAGGTCCTCCAGCTGGTCAATCCTGGCGTCCCGATCAGCACACGTACGCTGCAGGTCGTACAGCTGCTCTTCAAGCCGCTGGACTTGGACTCGCTGGGCATCGGCGGCGGCAGCACGACGACGAAGGTCCTCAAGCTCTCTGTCCATTCGTAACTGCGAATCGATTACAGAACGCAGAGAAGCCTCCACGGTGGCTGCGTTAACCAGACCTGGCGGTGGTTCGGCGGTGGAACCCGGCGGCGGCAGCGGAGGCCGGCCACCGGGCTTCAAGACGGCAGAATCGACGCGGCGAGTGAGAAGGCGCTGCGCTGCAGAGTAACCGAGCTCCCAGCAGTCGTCGGCCAGGGCGGTGACGTTACCCGCCTGGCGGTTACGCAGCGGACGCCCAGCAGTGGCTGGGATCCCTGACGTAAGGGCGCCGTGAAGCTTACCGCGCAGAGCACGCAGATCACACTCTCCCAAGCTGGCTAGAAAACATCGCACTTCCGCAGGACTGTAGCGGCCGGAGAAGATTGTCTCGCTACGGACCAGCAACTCTATCTTCTCGGCGGAAGAGGCGTCAGCTGGAAACAGCTCCTCCAGTTGCATGTGTTGACTCGGAGCGACGGGTGGCTGCTCCCGCTCCGGGCTGCTGACCGCTGCAGCTGCCATCACCAGCTCCGAGCTGCTTACCGTTGTAGCTGCCACTTCCGGCTCCGGGCTGCTGGCCGCTGTAGCTGCCACCTCCGACAAAGTATCTGATGTGTCAGCGGTGTCGTCCATGTTAGCTTCCAGTGGCCTACAATATCTGTATCCGGCCGTGAATATCTGTACCCTACCCTGTACCCTACCCAATATCTGTACCCTACCCTACCCTACCCTAGGGTAGGGTAGGGTAGGGTTGAATTGAGTAACATCCTAACTTACAAAGGGCTCCAACAACTCGCATGCATCACCATCATGCTTTACAGTTCAATTAAAAGCAGTTACCCAGTTCTACACAAATAATACCAATAAAAATGCAAGTTTCTACACCCAATCGTTCTACACCAAATCGTTTCTACACCCAATCGTTCAACTTGACGATTGAACTTGAATAAATTATAAGTCGTGTCTGCGTCCGTCAGCCTTATGTGTCTTAATGCGCCGGAACGGCGCCGCGTATCGACGTGAAATTTACTGGGCACAAACTTTGGGTGGGGCGGACCATCGTATCAAAAGATGGGCGCAATCGGACCAGGGGTGCGGCGTCAGCGCGTGCATCTCTGCCCCAGGCTGGCTGAGGCCGGCGCCGAGCAGAGAGCACGCGCTTTAGGCTCAGTTGTTCGCTTAAAAAACTGAGTGAAAAGCATCAGAGCCGGGAGGTCGTTGACCTTTGACAACAAAGGCCGACACAAGGCACCGCTCGCCAAGAGGATTCGCCAGTAAATACAATTAATTTGTTTTTGCAATATCTCAGCCGTTTCTTGGCCGATTTAGCTGAAACTTGGACTGTCGGTGGTAGTGTAGTGTAGTGTAGTGTAGGGTAGGGTAGGGTAGGGTAGGGTAGGGTAGGGTAGGGTAGGGTAGGGTAGGGTAGGGTAGGGTAGGGTAGGGTAGGGTAGGGTAGGGTAGGGTAGGGTAGGGTAGGGTAGGGTAGGGTAGGGTAGGGTAGGGTAGGGTAGGGTAGGGTAGGGTAGGGTAGGGTAGGGTAGGGTAGGGTAGGGTAGGGTAGGGTAGGGTAGGGTAGGGTAGGGTAGGGTAGGGTAGGGTAGGGTAGGGTAGGGTAGGGTAGGGTAGGGTAGGGTAGGGTAGGGTAGGGTAGGGTAGGGTAGGGTAGGGTAGGGTAGGGTAGGGTAGGGTAGGGTAGGGTAGGGTAGGGTAGGGTAGGGTAGGGTAGGGTAGGGTAGGGTAGGGTAGGGTAGGGTAGGGTAGGGTAGGGTAGGGTAGGGTAGGGTAGGGTAGGGTAGGGTAGGGTAGGGTAGGGTAGGGTAGGGTAGGGTAGGGTAGGGTAGGGTAGGGTAGGGTAGGGTAGGGTAGGGTAGGGTAGGGTAGGGTAGGGTAGGGTAGGGTAGGGTAGGGTAGGGTAGGGTAGGGTAGGGTAGGGTAGGGTAGGGTAGGGTAGGGTAGGGTAGGGTAGGGTAGGGTAGGGTAGGGTAGGGTAGGGTAGGGTAGGGTAGGGTAGGGTAGGGTAGGGTAGGGACTAGGGGTAGGGTAGGGTAGGGTAGGGACTAGGGGTAGGGTAGGGTAGGGGTAGGGTAGGGACTAGGGGTAGGGTAGGGTAGGGTAGGGTAGGGTAGGGTAAGGGTAGGGTAGTGTAAGGGTAGGGTAGGGTAGGGTAGGTTAGGGTAGTGTAGGGGTAGGGGTAGGGGTAGGGTAGGGTAAGGGTAGGGTAGGGTAGGGTAAGGGTAGGGTAGGGTAGGGTAAGGGTAGGGTAGGGTAGGGTAGTGTAAGGGTAGGGTAGGGTAGGGTAGGATATGGTACGGTAGGGTAGGGTAGGGTAAGGTAGGGCAGGGTAGGGGTAGGGTAGGGTAGGGTAGCGTAGGGTAGGGTAGGGTAGGTTAGGGTAGTGTAAGGGTAGGGTAGGGTATGGTAGGGTAGGGGTAGGGTAGGGTAGGGCAGGGTAGGGGTAGGGTAGGGTAAGGGTAGGGTAGGGTAGTGTAAGGGTAGGGTAGGGTAGGGTAGGATATGGTAGGGTAGGGTAGGGTAGGGTAGGGTAGGGACTAGGGGAAGGGTTGGGTAGGGTAGGGGTAGGGTAGGGTAGGGTAGGTTAGTGTAGGGTAGTGTAAGGGTAGGGTATGGTAGGGTAGGGGTAGGGTAGGGCAGGGTAGGGGTAGGGTAGGGTAGGTTAGGGTAGTGTAAGGGTAGGGTAGGATAGGGTAGGGTAGGATAGGGTAGGGTAGGGTAGGGTTGAATTGAGTAACATCCTAACTTACAAAGGGCTCCAACAACTCGCATGCATCACCATCATGCTTTACAGTTCAATTAAAAGCAGTTACCCAGTTCTACACAAATAATACCAATAAAAATGCAAGTTTCTACACCCAAACTAATGCATCCGTTAATCATACATATCAAAACATACAGTTATCGCGTAAACCTGTATTCTAGTATATATTTCAATTTCATCCTTATACCTTATACCTTTCATCCTTATACCTATATATGATATACAGGAACCTTTTTTTAATTTGGAAAATATTTTTTGGAATGTACCCCATCCAGCATCTCAAAGTCACTTATCTGCCTGGATCTGTGAACCAATAAGCACTGTATCTCACCTCATTCTTATGGGCTTTCCTTCTGCTTGCTTGCCTCCTTCAAACCTAAAACAAAGCAATGGTTATTATCATTAAGGTAGGTACTAAGGAATAGAATGTATCATTAACTCTGCATCACTAGTTATTCTAGACCTATCTGCTTCCTAGGTAGATTTGGATTTTTATGTGGTTGGTGACAGTATTAACCCACAGCTTGTTGCAGCTTGCAATGAATTCCAAATTGCATAAATAAGCATATATAATGGCAAAAAAGGGCAAAGGAAGCTTGGACTTTTGGAACAAACTGTCAAAATTTCAGAGCAAAATTACTTGCTCCAAAATTCTGATGCACAAGAGCCCCTGAGAAGTCTGGCCTAGTGCATAGATATTTTCCAATCTGGATGCAACCTCTAGGACATGCCAGCACAGGCTCATGATGGGCACACCCAGCCCTTGATGAGCCTACTACAGCGAATCCTGGTCCGCCAAAAAGATTATGGACCCCTTCTTTTTCACCAGGAGCACCAGGCCAATCATCATTAAGCAGTGCCAAACCTCATTGGCATATTTTTGCTAGCATTTGGGGCTGCTTGTGGAACTGAAGCAGAATTGGTATTAGCATAAAATTTGGGTATCAGTAAAGCTGATGTCACTGTCGGTACTAGCCGGTAATTGTGTCACTTAAATCTATCTAACTTGGGCTCTGTTCGGTCGCTGCTTTTATAACAGCATGCTGTCGGTTTTCCCAACATAAGGAAGTTAGGTATTGCTGGCGCGGTTTGGCCTCTCATTGGTCTAACAAATAGACCTCTTGAATTTGACCAATGAGGAGCCAAGAAGTAGCAGCATGGACGCAGCCTGCTGATAAATAAATGGGGTGCGAACAGAGCTCCGACCTAACCAAATATTTACCCAATCCCCCACACACACACCACCACTGAAGAAATGCTAAAAAAAATGGAAAATACACCCCAGCCACCATCAAAACCACATTGACAAAAATTATCTAAAAACGTATAAGCTGTGCGAAAATTTTTGATATTGATATGTAAACGTCTACAATGCACCCTAAGCTGGAAAATAAAGCATTACAACAAAATTCAAGAAAGAACCTACCTTAAGCATCGAACAACCACACTCCCTAGATAAGAACTCTGATACAAACACGTCTTAAAATGAATTATATCATCAAATCCGAGCAGTCAACACCGAAATATGGAAATGCGACACGCTACTTCTCGACGCCCACGCCATATTTGATTATGGAACCCAATAAGACAGTTTCAGTTTAAAATATCTTGACTATTGACGTCATCAGTTATTTTCGATAAGTGATTCGTTTTGGTTTTGAATGTTTTTTGCAATTTTTATCGCGCCTAATTAAATGTTTGGAATAGAGAATTTTCCAGTGTCAAGCAGTTCAGTGGCCAAGCAAGCATCATTGTAAAAAAAAAATAATTTCAACATCCCTGCAAGCAGGATGCCCATTGACAAAGTAAATGGTCCTATGACATCAGCAACGCATTTTCGAAATTTTGTCTTGGGTATACTTTTTCCACGATGCCGCCAAATCAAGGCCTAGGCATCAAAACCATAAGCGAGGATTCTCCTGACGTCACTGGTACAAACGGTCGAACGATCCTGCGGAAAATGATCACATTTTTTAAAATGCATCGCTGTATCATTAAAGCTCAAAAGAAGACAAACAAGAAATCTAGTTGGTTCTTGGACACTTTTTAAGCATGAGTAGAGCTCTGTATCAGCACTATGCGTTTGTCAAGCCAGGATCTGCCAGTCTGCACTTGGTGAAACGGGGGCGCCGGCCAATCAGCATGCTGTAATTTTGTGACGTCATTGGGCATACCCTGAAGCGCTGCTGAGATCATCCGCGATGCCTAGTCATCCGCGATCATCATATCATGCGGCCTTGATCATATCTGTTGGAGACGTGGCTGGACTCCGCTAAGGCTCTGTGGATCTTTTGTGACCTGCTGCTGGTGAGGAGACAGCGAGACGTGTGCGACAGTGCAAAGCTATCGTGGTACCAGAACTTACATCTAAATCTGTCATCATGGTTGCAGAAGCTTCCAACTTCAAGTCAAAAGAAATATTTGACAAGATGGGAGAAGTCCTGAAGACTGATGGATCTGCACTTGTTAAAAAGATGAAGGCCGTGTTCGCCTTCTCCGTAAAGAACAGCGACGGCCAGACGGCCGTCTGGACCGTGGATGTCAAAAACGGCAACGGATCTGTGGAGTTTGGCACCGACAAAAAGGCCGATGTGACGCTGACACTCTCCGACGTCGACTTGGTCGATCTGATGCTGGGCAAACTGGACGCCCAGAAGGCCTTCTTCCAGGGAAAACTGAAGATCAAGGGCAACATGGGCCTCGCTATGCGCCTCAAGGCCTTCCAAAGTGAGATGGATAAATACAAGGCTAAACTGTGATTGTGTGGGAGGAGCTCAAAGGAAAACTGCTTTTACATGACGACTGTGGATGGGACGATACGATAAGACGTGCAACACAAATCTGCAATCACCAGTGTCTGTATGATCGTGTGTCGTGTATGTTAATCGAGCTATATGTGTGGCTGCCAGAGCCACCCAACGCCTGTTGACCTTGTACACTGTGGTGCAGCGGTGATAATCAGCTTTTGTATATCTGTGCCGTGTTGGCTGCGGTTGGTGGTGCGGTACTGGTGGTCGACGGCGAACCGTCTTGTTACATTTAGTCGCGATGGGGATGGACGTCTGTACTCCTGGACTTTTCCGCAGGGAGGACGGAGCCTATAGTAGCCTTGGGGAGGACTTGTCCGAGCGGAGTAGATTGGAATTTGGAATGTGCCGATCTGCATGCTCATGCAATGCACATATTGAAAATATAAATCGTACCAAAGGGTGTGTAAAGAAAGATGCTGTTTATCGATTGATTGTTCTTAACAATGTGTGGTTAAATTTTTATGCAATGACGAGTCTGGTAATGCGATTTTCACCAGGCTGCGTCCTGCGAAATGTCCTACGCCTTTGGCTTTCCGTGACCTCACTACGAGATCGCGCCACAAGACTGTCCCGCAATGGCTCTGACTGAGGGCTTCGTAATGGATCTCAGGGAACTCATGTCATGGCTCTGAGGGCCCCCACAGTGGCTCTGAGGGCCCCACAACGGTTTCGAGGGACCCCGCAATGGCTTTAATGTGCCATGGCTCTAAGGGCCCCAAGGATCACACATTTGTGGTCTTGAGAGCCCCGCAACAACCCAAGGGCCCCACAGTGGCTCTGGGCCTGTCGCTGACTTGGCAGCCCAATACTCACGGCTGATAAGCGATACCCCACGACATCCTCCAGGCGGGCTTATACATAAAAGAGTCCCACACCACAAAATGGCCGTGCTCTTGTTCTGGCTCGGCTCCGGGAGGGGGGGGGGGCATGTCGGCTTCTGAGGGTCGCCATGGCCCACGTAGAACCCTGGCGGCCCCCTTTGAGCCCTTGAGGACATGCGTGGAGAATTGTACTGAGTTTGTGGGTGTTCGGGCACTGCAAAGTGCAAATCCAGCGCTCCGGCTGGCATTTGGGGCCGCGACAGAGGATGGGGGTCAACAGGGAGACACCGGTTGGTCACGTGACTCGGAAACAAAAATCAGCTGATAGAGTGGCGGAATCCCCGTAATCAGACACGAATAATTCCGGACGATAGAGCGGCAGCATGCGGCAGTATAGAAGTCTTCTTCACAACAGGCACACATTGCCACGTTCATCATTCAGTGATCAAGAAACGTTCATAAATTATATATTTTTCGACGATTACCGCCGCAACCGACGCGCACATATCGTTACCAGCACATAAAGCTGTGCTTTGCGATATTATTTGTAAAGAAACGGCCAATACCTACTAAATTATGTGCAACAAAGCTCGAAAAAGATAGCATTCTATATTGCTTCAACCTTCTACTTACGCTTTTATAATTACGACAGCGACACCATACGGCCTATCGACGCTATGCAACTCCGTGGAGCGTCCAGCCGCACTCTGCAGAGTGTGCCGAGATCGGAGGGGGACTATCCACGGCACGTCCACCTGCGCTGCCCGGCCGCTGGAAGGGCGACGCCGACGCCTAGCTCGTCTGGATACCATCCACTCAACGGTTACACAGATGCAAAAAGACCGCCCGCTGCGCACACAACTAAGCTACTTGGCTACGCCCTCTCGGGGAGGGGAGGGAGGAGCAACAACCGTCAACAGTCTGAACTCTGATGAGCCAATGGAGTCTGTGACTTGTGAGCCGCGCCAATCAGCGCTGTTCCGCGAGTAGACGGGAGCTCTATTTTCGCTGGTCCGTCAGTCACCAGCATCGTTCCGTGCTCTCGATGGTACTTATTCGGCCGTGTTTTCGTGTGTAGGTCAGCAAAAACAGTGAGAGAGATTCTCGGATCGCGCCAGTCGGTCGCAAGGGTATCTATTGTCTATGTACTTTCCAGTATCGCAAACGTTATTGTTAGGACCCGAGGGTAATCAGCAGTCGCCGCATTTGTTGTAATAATAAAATTGAAAATATAGCGAGGTATATTCACTTAAATTCACATACCACCTTTGATTTTTTTGGCACGCGCGGACTACTTGCCCCCGCAGCTACAGCACACAGCCGATCTCCATGTTTCTGTTTCAGAGCTGCAGTGGACACGCAAAAATACACTTATGTTCTGACAACTTAATCCAAAAGTACACAGATTTCACGACGAACTACCACATTCATATAATTTTCTTGCTCACAGGTGCTCAGCAATAAGCGCGCGACTGATTGCAGCTACTCACGATTATTAATTCGCGCTCGCCAAACCTGCCATTAACATCCACCACCAATACCATCAACATCTGTCCAATTAAGTACCTATTACCATATCGAGCCAGAATGAGACCACGACATATTATCGCCCTATTACATAGCACAAATTCCGGGGTGGGTGGGGTGGGGGTGGGGGATCCTCCAATCACAACCAACATCGTTTTGGGACGGGGAGTCGAAGCCGGGGCTCGTATCGACGCATCCTTCACATATCTGGGCGTCTCACTCCTTTCGACACTTAATCAACCCTGGCACACCATCCACCGAGCCAGGTCGGCTCCGACCATCTTGAGTTCCATACTGAAATCTGATAACTAACCGTCATTTGTTCCTATCAGTCAGCGGGCACTATGCCTTAGCACAGCAAGTGCACTGTGCAGCCTTCTTTGGACACCGCCTCGGAGCAGGGCGCTGGTCCTGGGTGCCCGGCGCCCTTTACGGCTAGCAGCATTTTCGGGGTCGGATGGTTTCCGCAGTGGCGGCGCTGGTCACCGTGGAGCCGTCGGACGACACCGTCAGATGGAGCGCCCGCAACTGGTGACCTGTGACACAGCGACACGTCAGGTCTCACGTCAGGTCTCATGACGACCGTCACGTTTCAGTCGCGACGGCCGTTATATAAACAATCACGGCGGCCGTCACATACCAGGCACAGTGACCGTTACACACGATCCAAGGCGACCGTCAATTAGCAGTCACGGCGACATCACAGGTTGCGACGGTCCTCAAATTTCCGCCACGGCGACGATAACTCATAGCTCATAGCGTTTCCTGTCGCACACTTAGCCATAGCCCATAATTGCAATACATTAGCCTGTTTATACGTTTCTCACTCAAAAGTCGAGGCCCGAGTCTGAGACCCATCATACGTCACGACCCCTGCAACGGCATCTGCATTAGCAGACATCCCGTCCCGGCAACACACAAAGTTCTCTCCACTCTCCAGCCACTCACCTAGGGACTGGGGGGCGAAGTAATCTTGGGGGTGACATAGCCAGGACGTGTCGTCGAGCTGCCGTCGGCGGGCGTGCCACGAATGGCCGGCGGACCTCCGTCGGCTGGCGGGCCACCATCAGCCGGAATGCCGTGGTCAGCCGACGGGCCGGCGTCGGTCGGCGAGCCACCATCAGCCGGCGGGCGGGCCACTGTTGGCCATTGAGCCGGCGTCCGTCGCCGGGTCTCCGTCCGCTGGCGGACACTAGTCTGAATAACAAGAAATAGTTGAATCAGTTACTCTAGTGTTCACTGTTCAAGTTCATAAAGTACAAGTCTCAGCACACCTAATTCTATTCATATACACAGTATATCTATTTCATTATACATTGCTTTACAATCGTTTTTAGAATAATATTAGTCTTTAACTGTTAGCAAGTGAAAATGCCTTTTGTGTTCAGTTAGGCCTGTTGAGACCATTGCAGAAATGCAGACCATTGTGGAGCTGGAAGGAAGATAGGGAATTAGCTGCTGTGCTCCAGTGGCAGTGCTTCTGGCTACAGGTCAGGACATCCACACTTACAGTAGGGCCTGAGTTGGATCTTGGACCCCTGTCAGTGTGGTCTCCCTCTTGATGTAATTGGCTGAGGAGAATCAAAGTGATGTTAGGAGTTAGGACTGCAACTTATCACAGTTATGAGCAGGGTTTGGGTTAGGTTAGGTTTGGTTAGGTTACAAATTAAAATTAACGGCAGTAGTAGAGCAGATGTCAAATGAAGGCGCTTATGCTTACCAAGTAGATAAATAGGCAAAGAATAGGAAGGGTTTCCAACCAAGGAGAGGCACAGCTGTAGGTTTGTAGGTTGTAGGGTTTTAGTTTGTATGCTGACTTGTAGGTTAGATTATATCAGGTAAGGTTTGGTTTGGTGTTAAAAAGAAGCATCTCTGGAAGCAAGAAGCATATGAGCACTTCTCCTCAGTTGTAAAACCTCTGTGTAACATCTGCTCAACTAATGCCTAAATATCTTGGTCACCAGTGACAAATTCCAATCTCAAATGAGCTGGCCAGTTCACAATTTGTAGGATCATGTTTTGTCTGTCAGTCAGCAAAACAAATATTGTGGTTATGAGCAGTTCTTCGATGGTTGTGGAGGGTACAAATGTGGACATGTCGGGAATATAGTCTAAATATTGATCATCACTCCTTATATGGTCATCACTCAGCACATTTGGGTGACGTCATATTCTTAAATTAGATAAATCTTATTTTAGATTATCTCCCTGCGGTTTGCCCGACTGATACCTATATGCTGACGGTGACCCCAGCTTTACCGTTACCCAGATTTCCAGCTTGACAATGACTGGTACAGAATTGTCAAACTCAATGATGCATTTGGCTAGCCCTTTTGCCAAGAATTGTAGTCTGTTTCATTGTCATACTCACGTCTCCCCATCAGCATGACATTGCTTGGCGTACTCCATACAGCCTCGGCAAATGAACCCTTTCAACTGCTTTGTTTTGCAAAAATGCCCAACACGTGCATCATCCATTTGGGCACAGACTTCCTTCCTTAAATGGAAATCAAGGCTTCATACAAGCCAGGGGAGGCAAAGTTTGCCATCCTGTGTTGCCTATGATTCGGGCATGAGCACTGTCTTGGTCTTGGTCTTCCTGGTGGCATTGTAGCCTATTGAAATATCTTTTTAAAAAAACACCAAGAAAACGTCAATCCAATACCTACTCCACAAATCCCCGATGCTCCGCGCTCCACAAAATATATCCACAACTCCAAGACCCACAGAAGTGAGAGAAGCAAATTCAAATTTGAATTGAAATGTGCCTAATAAACAAATATACACAACACACAAAAGTCGAAAACCAGGGATGTTCTCTATCATCACATGGAACGCCGTAGCAGCCAATTGAATGCAAAAACGTGCGTCTGCTAGCGTCAGAACTATATTAGCAGCATTTGCAGTACACGAAACCGTGAGCAGCTGTGGGTGTATAATCGTGGTCAGCAGCTTTTAACATCGAATTTCGTAATGTTCCCCCATTAGTCATGTTTTGAAACTTATAACATCAGATAGAAAATTAAATTCTGTTACATATAGTACCCTCAATAGATGCCGACTC